CATTCATGTAATTTTGATCAGTCTACAATTATGTTTATGAGCTTTTCTGAGACCTTTTGTCAATGGCTACACCAAGACATATATGTACATGTAATATGTAGTTTTGTATGTTGTGTTAATACTACATCACATTTTTCAAAATGATAACACGTACAGTAATTCTTCTGAAGACATGACACAAATTTAATATTAATAGGCCATAAATTGGGTTTGTTTTTACACTTTTAACACTTTTGTCTCCTCTTTCTTACTCACATTACAGATGCAGAGATTGCCGTTACAGTTGATGGTACATTAAAGGTATGATTGATTCACACTATTATTGAGATAAAGGAGTTGACTGATCTATTTAGGTCTTCCTGTCCATTCTCATTGACTTAATTGCAGACTTCTTACTAGCTCTTGTTGTTCACAGAGACTCGTGGCAGGTAATGATGATATATTGTGTAGCTACATGTAACATGTATGTCGTACATAGTAGATGCATGTAGATTGGAATAGATAATTTGGGCAAGTTGCTTTTTAAAAATGAAGGTTCGGAAATTAATAATTTTTTACAAATGTTTTACCATGCCAACGTCTTAAGTTAAGGTTTTGGTTTATAGGTAAAATTTTATTTGCCTAAATTTCTACTTGCTACCTGGCTTGGGGCAAAGTACATGTACTCTAAGAAGTATTGAAGTACATAACATGTATCTGTTAAAATTTTAAAATGAGTACAAGTACAAGTCCCTCATTTTTGCAAATTGTATTGAGTATGAGTACGAGTACTCTATTGTAGTACTATTTAAGCATTTGACCACACTCAAATAATTATTTAAGCCTGCTTGATACCTATGTACATGTACATGTGCATACAGGATGTGTAGTTCTTCATTTCAAATGTACGGTATGTAATTTTACTACTTTTGTTTCTTGAATTCCAGAAATTTGCATTTACATGATGTACAATGTACATGTACTCATTAAGTAATTTTTCATCTTTAATTGATACAACTGTATAACATACTGTGTGTACATGTAGATATATGATGCTATTGTAATTCATCCTTGTGAGCCAGGAGTAACTGAATGGATCAATGTCTATAACCTAAAACGGTAAAGTCATTTATTGATATTTACAATAAAGTACTAGTACTACCAACTTAATTTGAACACTTTTAGGTGCGTCTTGTAGTGACGGACCAGTTTCTGATCTTTGTTGGACGGGACAGGGTCACCACTCCCTTGTATATCAGGATTTGTGTATTTTAATGGGATTAATGGATATATACCGTAAAGTACAAGTATTACCAACTTAATTTGAACACTTTTAGGTGCGTCTTGTAGTGACGAACCAGTTCCTGATCTTTGTTGGACGGGACAGGGTCACCACTCCCTTGTATATCAGGATTTGTGTATTTTAAAGTCATTTATTGATATTTTCAGTAAAGTA